CACCCAGGCGTCGACGGTTGTCCACTCGCCACGACGAGGACTCAGGGTAAGGGAACTCGGATTTGTTGCATCACCGTGCATTTCAACGGCACCACTCATATGCAATTGGAGTCTTTTCCAATGTTGTAACGCGACCGAGGAAGGAGCGATAGCATGGCGGAGCAATGCCTGGAGTACATTGACCGCCTTGAGGGAAAGAGAATTTGTTGTGAGAGAGAATTCTGGATCGGTATTATAGTGATTATAGATATCAAAGATCTTTTCGACACCCTCTACAATCTGCAGGGTGCCAGGGGAATTCATGGTGGAGGTCAGGTCCAGCCTGAAATTGCCACCATATTGCCCGGTGCGCGCAAGAGAGTTTCAATATTTGGACAGTATCATCCTCTGAGAGCTTCTTGTATATACAGAATGTTGGGTTTCGTAAGAGCACAACAGAGCAGCCATTACAATGCCCCTCAATTTTCAAAGCAACTAATCCGACGGGAGCTGCTTGTCCTTTTTTCAATCTACGGGCTGCCTCTCTGTACCCATAGATCTCCATCTTAAGCGACCCATCTTACTTTCGAGTAATAATCTCAGCTTAGGTCACGCATAGATTGTTGTGTCAAGAAATTTCGCATTGGTGATCTAGTTGGTTTTTCCATTCGAAACAGAGATATTCAAGAAGAGAAAACAGAACAAACCAGAGGGTGAGGAGACAGTATATAGAGTGGTAGAAACACATGAAAGCCCTCCGCATAAGGCTACAAGTTGGAGCGATTTCTCGCAAAGAAAAGGAGCGAGGTCACAAATGAAAGGGAAGGGTGGAAACTCGTGCGACGAACAAAACGGCAGTAGAAGCACGAGAAAGATGTAGAAAAACCCGGGGGATGAAAGGAGCGTATTGTATAACCGACCCAATATAGGTAGATGCGCAAAAGGAATGTTGGTACTTGTAGTTATTCTTGTGTTTCATTTGTTCTGTTTTGTTTTTGATCTTGTCGTATACAGTGCAGAGGCCGTTAAAGATGTGTAAAAAGACATTGTCGATTGGACGGTCGTGGAAAGGCAAGTAAGGAAACAAAAAAGGTGTAGGGGATACGTATACACAGATCGTGATGCTCTAAGCGTCCATAGCATCGATCGAGAGGTCGTCAAAGGTCGTAAAGGTCGTTACTTTGTACGCGGGGGGTCGACGCCAAACAAGACGCGATCCAATTGGTATTAAGAGCTCGAGTGCGGCGACCATGATCTCCAAATTTTCAGACGACTCGGTCGAGATTCGGTTGCCCAAGTCGTCGGGTAGGCGCAAGCTCAAGTCCAACGCTGCTGCCGCTAGCCTCTCACCGGGTAGCTCGCACACCAGTTATACTTTTCTTGGGTTGAAGAAGAAGAAGGACTCGTCATCTCCTACGTCTGGCTCTCCACCAAAGGGTTTCCCGCCTCTCCCCAAGGATGCAGCAGCCAAGGTCTCGACTGCGAACCAGGCCAAGGAAAAGGAGGCGGCTCCACGCGTCAGTGTCGAGAGTGCCACTAGCCGTGCGAGCAGTGATAGCAAGAAGAATGGTCTCAAACGCCCACCTCTCCCCGTCGAGTTGTTCATCCGCGCATGAACACCCCTCCTCCTCCTCCTTACCCACCCCTCACCCGTTCTCCCAGATTTGTGCGCACTACACCTTGCCGTCTGCGCTGTAGCTTCCGCCTGTGGCGCGGCAAATGTTTTTGACAAGCTTTTTGAACACGACCCGGATATTGTTGGTCCTGTAGCTGGGCATTATACTCTACCAACAGACCCAATTTCGGATCGGTTTATTATTCCATACTTTGAGAGACGGCTATTTGAGGAGAGCGTTTATGTCTCGCCACCCTAGATATTCGATAATTACGTCGTAATTTCTGGCAGTAGCATCCTACTACTGTACCAGCTTGGAGACCAATAGAATGCGTTCACCAACCCCAGCTTCACGTCCACAGCTGCAAACGTCAATTCGGTACAACGAACAGGTAGATTATGGATCGGGATGCTTATGATACTCTTGGTCTCTGATGGGGGATGTATGATATGTATCACTAAACTAGACTTGCATGCACGTCAACTAATTTTAGACTCGAAGCTAGCAAAATACTGCAACCTCAACTGTAATAGATCACTAATGCGAACTTTCTTGTAACAACAACCTACGTGTGACCTAAGCTGAGATTATACTCGAGAGTAGGATGGGTCGCTTAAAATGGAGATTTGTGGGTTCAGAGAGACGGCCCATAGATAGACAAAGGACAAGCTCGCGTCGGATCCACCATTAGTCGGTGCTCTTGCGAAACGCAACATTCCTGTGTCAAAGATATATATACAGCGAGCTCTCTGAGAATGACATTGTCCAAATATTGAGGCTCTCCTGCGCGCACTGGCCAACATGGTGGCTACTTCAGGCTGGACCTGACCTCTACCATGAATTCCCCAGGTGCCCTGCAGATTGTAGAGGGTGTCGGGAAGATATTTGGTATCTATAATCATTACAATCCCGATCCAGAATTCTCTCTCACAACAAAATCTCCTTCGCTCAAAGCAGTCAGTGTGCTCCAGGCATTGCTCCGCCATGCTATCGCTCCTTCCTCGGTCGCGTTACAACATTGGAAAATACTCCAATTGCATTTGAGTGACACCGTTGAAATGCACGGTGATGCAACAAATCCGAGTTCCCTCACCCTGAGCCCTTGTGGTGGCGAGTGGACAATGGTCGACGCCTGGGTA